CTGCTGCTGCAGCGCAGGCCCGTTCGGGGAAGGGCCGCCGCCCCAAGGCTGGGCGCGGCGGAGGGGGCGGCGGGGGTGCGAGCGGGGGTAGTGGTGGGGTCGGGTCGTCTGGTGCTGGAGCGGACGAGGGGACCCTGCCCAGTCCAGCTGAGTCGCCGCCCCTGCAGTTGCAGCAGCCGCAGCAGCCGCCGCAGTCGCAGCCTTCGCAGCAGCCGCAGCAGCCGTCGCAGACGCGGCAGACGAGTGTTCTCCCGCCAGGGTGGCCCGGCGCTGGCGGTGGACGGGCGCGTGGTGGTGTGCCGCGAGGTGGCTCTTCCGGCGGGCGTTGTCAGTACCAGATCCAGACCGGTCCTCGCCGCGGTTTTGTTTGCGGTAAGATCGGTCACTCCACTCCCCGCTGCTTTCGTCGCCTGGACGACCTCTTTCGTCAGCGTTTCGGCCCGTCGCCAGACCTCCCGGACTGGCACAGTTTGCTTAGTCGTCAGATTCAGATCTTTGATATGGACATGGATGCCATTGTTTCTGCTCTGCATGTGATGTATGCTGATGACTCTAGTGTGCTTCCGACTTATTACTCACTGTTGCCTAGTGTCGGTGTGCCTAGCTTAGCCCCCCCTGCTGCGTCAGGCGTAGGATCCCCTGCTTTGTGTAGTCTTGGTGCTTCTGCCGTCGTTCCATCGCCAGACCCCTCGGCTTCGCTTTCCTTCACCTTGGACTCTGGCGCCTCTCGGTGTTTCTTCCGCGACTCCACCACCCTGACGCCGCTTCCTGTTCCTGCTGCCGTTTCTCTTGCTGACCCCTCCGGCGGTCCGGTAGTCGCCCGCAGTTCCACCACCCTTCCCTGTCCGGCGGTTCCTTCGGGCTCTCTTACAGGTCTGCATATCCCCTCGTTCTCCAGGAACCTAGTTGGTGTCGGCTGCCTCCAGGACCTTGGCGTCACCACTACGTTCCCTGGTCACGAGCGGTATGCTGTCTGTACCGAGGCCGCCACTGGTGCCCCCCTGTCCACGTTCCCCCGGGACCCGGTGTCCGGCCTGTTCACTCTAGACACCGTGCCCCCCCCCGGCTGGAGCGCCCCCTCAGGTGGCTGTGTCTACCCAGGTTGCTGCTGCGTGCTCCTGTCGCTCCCTCACTCACCCGACCCTCCTGTGGCACCACCGCCTAGGTCACCCTGCGCTCCCGCGTCTGCGTCACATGTCCCAGCACGGTCTTGTACTTGGTCTCCCAGGTTCACTCCCCGCGTTTCCCTCCTCCCCAGCTCCACCTTGCACGCCTTGTGTCGAGGGTCGGCTTCGCCGTGCCCCTCACTCCTCCTCGTTCCCCCCTACCGTCGCGCCGCTGCAGACCCTGCACCTGGACGTCTGGGGCCCCGCCCCCGTCCCTGGGCCGCGTCGCGAGCGCTACTTCCTTGTGCTTGTCGACGACTTCACTCGTTACACCACAGTCTTTCCCCTGGAGTGCAAGGCCGACGTGCCTGGCGCCCTCATCCCCTGGCTTGTCTCTGCGCGTGTCCACCGCGGTCTCCCTGTCTTGCGTCTTCACTCAGACCGTGGTGGCGAGTTTGCCTCCGGTGTCCTTGGTCGCTTTTGTCGTGCGGAGGGCATCACCCAGACGTTCACCCTACCGGACTCCCCACAGCAGAATGGGGTCGCGGAGCGATGCATCGGCTTGGTCATGGAGGTCGCTCGCACCTCCATGGTCCATGCCGGTGCACCCCATTTTCTGTGGCCGTTCGCTGTGCGCTACGCTTCTCACCAGCTTAACCTGTGGCCGCACCCTCAGCAGCCGCAGGTTTCGCCGACCCGTCTGTGGACTGGGTCTCCTGGTGACGCGTCTGCGTTCCACGTCTGGGGCTGCCTTGCTCACGTCCGTGCCTCCGGCACGGACAAGCTCACTGCCCGCACCCTTCCTTGCGTCTTCCTCGGTTTTCCCCTTGACGCGTCCGACTGGCACTTTTACCACCCGCCGTCTCACCGCTTCTTTCACTCTCGTGACGTCACCTTTGACGAGTCCGTCTCCTACTACCGCCGCTTCCCCCACCGTGGTCCCCCGGTTACCCCCCCCTGTTCCTGGTCACCCCTTCCCCGGTAGTCCCTGCCCCTCCTCCTCCTCCTCCCCGTCCCGCCCCCTCTGGTGTCTCCCATGTCACCCCCCTTCCGTTCGTGGACCCGGTTGAGGAGTCTTCTGACTCTGGTGGCCCTCCGGTGCAGTCCTCGCCGGCCGCCCCTCCCCAGGTGTCCCCTCCCCAGTCCCCTCCTCCGCCGTCCCTGCCGCCACTGCAGCCGTCGCCGTCGTCGCCGCCGCCGCAGTCGCAACCCCCGTTCGCTGACTCTGGGGGTGCTCGTCCCGGTCGCCCTGAGGGTGGTCCCTCTGGGGGTGCGGGTGTGGAGCGTGCCGGTGGTAGCCGAGGAGCAGCTTGCGGTCCAGGTGTCGCCGTTGTGCCGCCGCAGCAGCAGTCCCCGCCGGTGTCCGCCCTTCGCCTGCTCGGCCTTCCGTCCCCCGACCCTGCTTCGGTTCCTCCCCGACCGTCTCCTCCTCTTCCTGTCTACGGCCCTGTTTTCCCTCCGCCGGACTCGTCCCCGGCCCGTCTCCCCCCTCGTTCACCTCCTGTGTCCCCTCCCCTGTCTCCTGACCCGACTCCTCCATCGCACGTCTGGTCTCACCGTCCCTCCCGTGCTCGTCCTGCCTCGCCTGTCCTGCGCTCCCACCCTATGTTGCTTCGTTCACACGCGTCTCGTCCTCCCCTTCTGCCGTCGCCTCCTCCGTCCTCCCTTGTTGTTGACGCTCTTGTCGCTGCTGTCGCTGACTTCGCCTCTACCCGCCGCCTTGACTACGCCACCGCTCTGGTCTCTGACCCTGCCTGTCCTCCGTCTGTCGGGGGTGCTCCTGCCCTTGGCAGTGACGTCCTGGAGGACCGCCAGTTCGAGCTTGCTTTCCTGTCTGAGGCTGCTCCCCATCTCTGTTCCATGCTGCTAGTCCCTGAGGGTGACCCGGACGCTTTCGACATCCCGACCCCTCGCACTTACGCTGAGGCGACTTCGGGACCCTGGGCCTCGCAGTGGATAGCTGCCATGGAGCAGGAGATGGCATCTTGGAGATCCACCGGCACCTTCGTCGACGCAGTTCCCCCACCTGGGGTGAACGTAGTCGATGGCCGCTGGCTCTTCAAGGTGAAGCGCCCTCCTGGAGAGCCGCCTGTCTTCAAGGCGCGCTATGTGGCTAGAGGCTTCAATCAGCGCGAGGGGGTGGACTTCTTCCAGACTTTCGCTCCGACCCCAAAGATGACTACTCTTCGGGTTCTGTTACACCTAGCTGCTCAGCGTGACTACGAGCTTCACTCTCTCGACTTCTCCACTGCCTTCCTTCAGGGCAGCCTACACGAGCAGGTCTACCTGCGCCGCCCTCCGGGCTTTACTGGCACCTTCCCTCCTGGGACCCAGTGGCTCCTGCGGCGCCCCGTCTACGGCCTGCGCCAGGCTCCCCGTGAGTGGCACGACACTCTGCGTACTACGCTTGCTGACCTGCAGTTCTTTCCGTCTTCTGCAGACCCTTCACTCTTCGTTCGTGCTGGCCAGACTCCGTTCTACATCCTCGTCTACGTCGACGACCTGGTCTTTGCCACAGCAGACAGGGACGCGCTGGCCTCCGTGAAGGCAGAGCTGCTGAAGAGACACACCTGCACTGACCTTGGAGAACTTCGCCGTTACCTTGGCTTGCAGATCTCCAGGGACAGAGCAGCGCGCACCATCACCCTGACTCAGTCACACTTGGTGCGCCAGGTCCTTCAGAGGTTCAGCCTTCAGTTCTCCTCTGCACAGCCCACCCCTCTGCCTGTAGACCACAGGCTCTCCGCTCCAGTGCCTGAGGAGTTGGTAGAGCCCTGCGGCCCCTACGCAGAGCTGGTGGGTTGCCTCATGTACCTGATGACTTGCACTCGCCCAGATCTCGCATACCCTCTCAGCATCCTGGCTCGCTTTGTGGCCACAGGCAGACACCGACCGCAGCACTGGTCTGCCGCTAAGAGGGTTCTGCGTTATCTTGCTAGTAGATCGGGCATGGGGTTAGTGCTAGGAGGACGCAGGCCAGCGGTCCTTACTGGGCACACAGACGCTTCGTGGGCAGACGACGCTGAGACACTCCGGTCTACCCAGGGCTACTGCTTCAGCCTTAGCTCAGGTGCCGTCTCGTGGAGAGCTACTCGCTCCTCGTCTGTTGCACAGTCCAGCTGTGAGGCTGAGATCTACGCCGGTGCCATGGCGGCACAGGAGCTCCGCTGGCTGACCTTCTTGCTCACTGACTTAGGTGAGCGACCTAGCTCTGCCCCGGTCCTGTTCGCTGACAACAGGGCCATGATCCTCCTGTGTCAGGAGCCTCGACTCGAGGGCAGAGCGAAGCACATTCAGCTGCGGTACTTCCTCCTGCGTGAGCTACAGCAGCGACGTCAGGCTCGCGTAGTACACTTGGCCTCGGGTGCCAACACGGCTGATATCTTTACGAAGGCGCTTGCGCCTAAAGATCATCAGCGGCACTGTGTACAGCTTGGTCTAGTTCCTGTAGCCTCGCACTTGCTAGGACCTTGACTTTGTACTGTCCTTTATATGTATACTCAGACTGGACTTGTGTCCTCTCCCAGTGGCTGGACTCGTAGTGCCGCCCTGCTCTTTGCTTGCCTTGTCTGTACTCCTTCTGACTGGTCGCTCAGACCCTTGTCTCAGAGGTTGGACTAGTAGTGCCGCCCTGCGCTGTTTGTTTATGACTTTCCCCTATGCAGTCTAGGGGGTGTGTCAAACATGTCTATTTGTTATGTTTGTATAGACTGTATAGGGTAGCCTCTTAGAGGGTACAACACTTAGCTATATTGTGTGTACTCTCCCTCTATCACAATCATTCAATTTTCTGTTAGGATAGACTTGAAGAGAATGAACTACAAGAAGGGGGTTGTCCCCCCTACAGTAGGATGCAGTCAGTTGCATAACTACCAAGCCTACAATTATATAAAATATCATTTTAACAGTTTGTTGTGGCTCCAATACTCAGCGAAACATTACTGTGACAAACCACTGCAAATCAAGGGTATCCAGGGAGGAGTGCATGTTCCTGGTAGTTTACATACAACAGGTGTTTTTCACAAAAGCACAGCAGTGAGCGAATGCCAGCATGCATCTTTTATTGGCACAAGCATCCGTCCGTCATCCCTTAGCTCTGTCTTGAGAAGTTTTTCCCCCACTTCCTTTTCTCGTCCCCTCTACTCTTGGAGCCACGTTGGCTCTGGCTCCCTCCTTCCCACTAGTTCCCATCACCTTGCTCCCCTCCCTCTTCCCATCCCCTCCTCCTCCATGTCCTCCCCTTCCCAGTCCACCCCTCCTCTGCTCCATTCTCTTGCCATTCCCCTTCCCTTCGTCAACACCAGCAGCAGCAGCAGCAGCACCCCCTCCCCCTCCCCCACCACCAAGCCCACCCTGCTCTCCTACCATCTTCCCTGGCTTCTGCCCCTGGGGTTGTGTAGGCGACACACCTGCTGCTCCCACTGCTGATGGTAACAAGGAAGGCACGGCGGAATCCCCTGCAGCAGGGCTTGGGGCAGGGGCCGACGCGTTGCCGCGTTCGGGCAGGCGAAGAAAGTCGGCAGGCTGGTTGGCCGGGCAGATGTAAGTTTCGCAAAGCCCTTGCTTCCACCACTCGCGGAGACTGCAGGTGGGTAGGGACGTATGGCAGGGGGAGCAAGTGGGGAGATCAGGGGGTTCATGGAGAAGGTGATGGATGGGAGTCGGAAGGATATGGGTGGGAGGGATAGAGGTGGGTTGGATGGAGAGACCAACGGCTACGATGCAGGCCAAGAGAGTGCACACACGCAGTGAGGTGGTAAGTGAGGTGAGGAGCAAAAAACCTTGGTGGTGCAATCCCAATGCCTGCATTCAATCACCATCATGCCATTCCCAGCAGACATAGCAGCACGCACGGCAGCACAGCCACAACCACGCCCCTCCCTCCCCCCCCCGTCGCTGGAAAAGGTAGACCACACGGTGCCATAGAACTGCAGGTCCAGCGCGCACACTGCCTTGTCTAGGAATGACACCAGTGACTACCCCTCTGGTGCCCATAGAGGTGTCCGAAGCAGCAAGTTGACGCGCGCTAAGCTTAGCGGACGTAAACTCGTCCCCAAAACTTGACGTCCCGTGTCGACGTCAAAACAGCTGCACACTCCTACTCTGGAAACGTGCACTCCGTGAGTGGCTGCCCAAACTAAAATGTCCCACCTGTGCTACTTCAGACACGCTATTATCACCATCACACACACACTTTCACCATCGCCACCATCGTCACATGGCTGCACACCCATGCACGTGCAGAACAATAGAACGCCCATCAGAACGCCCACTGGCACACCCATCAGCACACCCATCAGCACAGCCACGACAGTGCCCCTGCCCCTCCTGACCGCATGATGTCGCTGGAGAAGGTGGAGCCCGCGGTGCCGTAGAACTGCAGCGCCAGCGCGCACACCGCCTTGTCCAAGAACGACACCACCTCGCTGCGCCCCGCCACACCCCCCCGCTCCAACGGCTCCGCCCACGCCTCGCCAACAAGGGACACCGGCAGGGACACCAGCGCATGGGGGGAGCCCTGTGAGGGGGAAGAGGGAATGGGAGGGTTGAGGGTGGTGGGGTGGAGAGGAGGAAGGGGTGGGGGTGCAACATCAAGGGAGTACGGGGTTTATGTGAAGAAGATGAGCGAGTTTAAAGCCCGAGTCTTACATTTACAATCGATGGGGGGAGTTACCTGTCTTTTGCTAGGCGAACCCATCCAAAAAGGTTAGCGACAGGCCCTCTCACAAGCCCCCTCCGAAATGTAAAGCAGATGTGGGAAATGGGAGACTCTCAGAACTGTTGGAATTGAAAGAAGGATTGAAACTGAGGGCGTGTTTTCTGAGTGACATAGATTCAGACGTGGCCTGGTGAAATCACCCTCAGTTTCGTGGTTGGATTGGAGTTTGACCGCAAACTCTTTGCGTTTGATAAAGCTTTTCCCAAACTTCGCCACTTGCGCACCAGTCATATCTTTCCACCCATAGCAACTGCTTTACGTTTATTAAACATGAGACTCAGGCTTTAAGGGAGGAGGACAGCAGCACGGTTGGTGGCACGGTTGGTGGCACGGTTGGTGGCAAGGTTGGTGGCAAGGTTGGTCGTGACAGCAATCAAAAGAAAATCTGGCGCGAAGGGTGTTGAGGGGAGATGATAGTTACAGTAACAGTACAACGCTGACGTGAGGCAAGGTGCGGCTCTCACTGCATTCCTCTCCCTGCCATCCACCACACTCCCTGCCGTTTGCTGTGTTGCCCTCACCACGCACACCAGTCTCACACCATGACAATCCACCTTGCCTTCCTTCCCCTCACCCCCGTAACTCCAATTGCGTGCGCCACAACAGCCGCCCCCCCCACCCCATGGCCCCTACCTTTCCCCCCCACCAGCGCAGTCAGAATCCCTCTGAGCATCCGTGTGTCCATCTCATCCGCACCACACTCCACACACCACACACCACACACCACACACCACACACCACACTCCACACACCACGCACCGCACACCACACACCACACCACACACCTCCCATCACCCTCCCCCCCACCCACCAGCGCCGTCAGTGTCTCTCGGAGCACGCGTCGCTCCGTGGCATCGGCATTGCTGGCCAGGAACACCATGCGGACCCCCGGCAGGCGCTGCAGGCGCTGGTGCAGGCACGCCGCCACCTGCGCCAGCGGCTGGTAGCACGGCGTGGGGCGCAGCCGCCCGTTGCCGTGGATGCAGTGCTGAAAGAAGTCTCCCCGCCGCAGGTGCACCGCCGCGTAGCTGGGGCCTAGGTAAGTATTCACAAACCCCACTGCAGCTTGCTGTTGGAGATGGGGGAGCGGGGGAGGGGGGCAGGACAGGGATGGACAGCACGTTGAGGAGCCTCAGGATAGGAATCGCAGGTGCATTGCCGCGTACCTGGGACCTAAATACATGTTCACAGAACGTTGGTTGAGTTAAGCCCCACCTACCACCTCCCTCCCGCCCACCTGCCCGCGTGCGTGCGTACACACGCACACTGAACCCCCACCTGGATCGCAGGGCTGGGCTGCAGCAGGCCCCGGCACTCCGGCCTGACCACCAGCGGCGCCGCCCCTTGGAACCTGAGCTCTCTCCCGCCCACGCCGAACATATTGCCAAAGGCGATGACGTGGTGGTCACTGTTGAACTTGCGCAGGAAGTCCCCCGCCGGGTACTTGAACCACGGCCCCGGTGTGCGGCGCCGCGCGATCTCGCGCTTGGCGAAGTTGATGCGGAGGGTGGTGGTGTAGCGGCGCTGCAGGTCGTCACAGGCCGACTCCGTCTGGGGGAGCGGAGGGAGGTATGAGGGAGCGAGGAGGAGGGGGGGGAGGGGAAGGGAGGGAAGGAGAGAGAGGGAGGAAAGGAGGGGGAGGGAGGGAAGGGATAATAAGGTGGTTAACGAGGGGGAGAGAAGGGAAGGGAAGCAAATGCAGTGAGTGAAGAGGGTGGCGGGGAAGGGTCAGAGAAGGAAGCATGGATGGGAGGGGAGAAGGAGGGGAGAAGGAGGGGAGAAGGAGGGGAGAAGGAGGGGAGAAGGAGGGGAGAAGGAGGGGAGAAGGAGGGGAGAAGGAGGGGAGAAGGAGGGGAGAAGGAGGGGAGAAGGAGGGAAGAAGGAGGGGAGAAGCGGGGGAGAAGGAGGGGTGAGGAGGGTTGAGGAAGTTAAGCCGAAAAACACAGGAATGCGACATGTTTATCTACAATCAACGAGGTAGGTGAGAGGTAGGGGGGGGAGGAGGATAAGGGGGGGGAAGTCGGGTTCGGACAAATGAAGCTGGAACCTGGGACTTGCATGACAGGAAGGCACACAAGGCAGCGTGTGGTGTGTAAACACACATGTGCATGTATGCATGAAATGGCTGCTGGGAGGAGTTAAGAAGGGGGGTTCTGGGTGGGTGGGAGGAGTGTGCGCACCTGGTACACATGCACGTGGCAGATGAACCGCCCCACGCGCACCCTGCCCTTGACTGACTCGTTATAAGCAGTAAACGACACCACTCTGTTGGGCCCGAAGCACTCCTCAAACGCGCCCATGTCTGTAGCAGGGAAGGGGGATGGGGGGGATGGGGGGGATGGGGGGGATGGGGGGGATGGGGGGGATGGGGGGATTGGGGGGGATTGGGGGGAATTGGGAGGCACGCAGATGAGTTGCGATGGTGCGAGGCACATGCACGTGGGTGGGAGAGGACGAAAGGGAGAAAAAGGGGTGGGAAGGCATGGGGTGGGAAGGCATGGGGTGGGAAGGCATGGGGTGGGAAGGCATGGGGTGGGAAGGCATGGGGTGGGAAGGCATGGGGTGGGGAAGGCATGGGGTGGGGAAGGCATGGGGTGGGAAGGCATGGGGTGGGAAGGCATGGGGTGGGAAGGCATGGGGTGGGAAGGCATGGGGTGGGAAGGCATGGGGTGGGAAGGCATGGGGTGGGAAGGCATGGGGTGGGAAGGCATGGGGTGGGAAGGCTGTTAGACTATTCTCCCTTCATTCTATTAGCCTACATCGTTTCATTGTCTTAGGAACTTATAAGCACCCCACTATGGTGTATACACCCAAGTTGGGGGTTGGGTTCCCAACCTTGTTGGGTTCCCAAATTGGTTGGGCTCCCAATTATTGGAACCCCCAATAATCCCAACCAAGATTATTGGACCCACCAATAATCTTGGCTAGGATTATTGGACCCCCAAAAAGTTGGCCAACTCAACTTATTGGGGTCACCAATAATCGTGGTCACCTCCCAACCAAAACCCCCCCCCCCCTCCCTCCTACTCCTCACCTATGTATACCCACTCCTTTCCTAATACAATCATCACTTCAGATTCTCACATGGTTTCAGAGCTTATGGCTCACGCCTCTCCGTCGTTCGATCCCTAGCCACCTCGCGCCCAACGCGCCCCTCCCCGCGCCCTTAAGCGCCCCTCTCCGCGCCTTTAAGCGCCCCTCCCCGCGCCCTTCAGCGTCCTTCTCTGCGCCTTTAGGCGCCACTCCCCGCGCCCATAAGCGCCCCTCCCCGCGCCCATAAGGGCCCCTCCCCGCGCCCACAAGCGCCCCTCCCCGCGCCCTTAAGCGCCTCTCCTCGCGCCCTTAAGCGCTGCATTTTCGCGCGCCGCTCCGGCCGCATTTCGACGCGGTGCTCGGCCGCATTTCAGCGCGGCGCTCGGCCGCATTTCGGCGCGGCGCTCCGGCCGCATTTCGACGCGGCGCTCGGCCGCATTTCGGCGCGGCGCTCGGCCGCATTTCGGCGCGGCGCTCGGCCGCATTTCGGCGCGGCGCTCCGGCCGCATTTCGGCGCGGCGCTCCGGCCGCATTTCGGCACGGCGCTCGGCCGCATTTCGGCGCGGCGCTCGGCCGCATTTCGGCGCGGCGCTCGTCCGCATTTCGGCGCGGCGCTCGGCCGCATTTCGGCGCAGCGCTCGGCCGCATTTCGGCGCGGCGCTCGGCCGCATTTCGGCGCGGCGCCCGGCCGCATTTCGGTGCGGCGCTCGGCCGCATTTCGGCGCGGCGCTCGTCTGCATTTCGGCGTCCGGTCCTCACCATCTGCGCCGGCCGTCGCCTTTCGCATCGGCGCCCGAAGAAGGCTTCGCGTCGCGCAGCTCGTCTTCTTCCTCCCCCCCCCCCCCCTTCCTCCCTCCCCTCCTCCCCTCCCTCTCTCCCCCCCCCCCCCCCCCCCCCCCCCCCCCCCCCTCCCCTCTCCTCCTCTCCTCCTTCCCCACGAACAGCAGCAGCCGCATCCTTCCTCAATCAAACGCAGCAGCCGCATCAGCAACCGCAACCGCACCCTCCACCGGCCTTCACCTCCTCCCCACTCCCTTCATCAGCCGCAGCAGCCACATCTCCCCCCTCCACCTCCCCCTACTCCCCTTCCTCCCCCCACCAGCTGCAGCAACCGCCTCATCTCCAGCAGCCGCACCATCAGCAGCAGCAGCCGTATTCCCCCCCCCTCCCCTCCCTCCTCCTTCTCCCTCTCCACTCATCCCCAGCAGCAACAGCAGCAGCATCCGCAATCGCACCATGACCACCGAAACACTCGCCGTCGACATCTCCACCATCGACGTCCTCGAGCTCATCGACGACGCCGTCCCTGTCAACTGGGCTACCTTTGCCCAGAGCCTTACCAATGTCCTCGGATCCGCTATCATCAACGACTACTGCCTCCTTGACATTCTCCTTGGCAATGACGCAGGGCAGCCTCCCGAATGTCCCGCTGATGTCTCCCCTGCACCTCCTGCCCCACCCCCGGCCCCCTCGGGACCGGCCCCCACCAAGCCCTCTCCACTGGTCTACACCGACGACCCTGATCGCTGGGCTCGCGTGCAACACCAATATGACAAGGACTTTGCGGAGTACACTCTCCTCCATCACGCGTATGACGCAGAGCAAGCTGCGCACGACGCCGCCAACACACTCCTCCAACAGCACAAGGACGCCACGGCTAAGTATGCTGACGACTTTCGTGAGTACCGTCGTCGCCACTCTGCCTGGAACGTTGCCAACCGCAAATGTCTCGCTATCCTGTCTGCATGCGTTCCTTCCTCCCTCAAACGCGAAATTACCCCCTCCTCCGCTCCCGAGTTCTGGAAAGAGCTATGTGCCACCTATGACCTCCATGACACCAACTCTCTCCTAGCGCTCCACCGCGCCTTCCTCGACATCAACCTTGACTCCTGCCCCAACGCCCTCTCCTTCACGCGCCGCCTCCTCACCACTGCCAAACGCCTTGCCGATCGTCGCTCTCCCCTTCCCGACTCCCTCATCGTTTGCCGCCTCCTCGACGGCCTCACCCCCTTGTATGAGGCCCGTCGCGTGGCGTTCAATGAGGTCCACGCCAGCTTCCCACCCGACTCCGCCTATGTAGCCGCATGGATTCTGAAAACTGAAGCGGAGCTCCTCCGCCAGTCTCCTCCAACGGCTCATGTTGCCCAAGCAAAAGGAGGACGTGGTGCTGGTCGTGGCGGTACTTCGGCGGGACGATCGGGTGGTGGACGTGGCGGGGGGCGCAGTGGAGGACGCGGGGGTAGCAGTGGTTCCAACAGCACCGGCGGCTTCTCCCCGTGTCAGTATCTCATCCGCAACGGCCCCAACAAGGGTAAGCGCTGCCTCCAAACCACCCATGCCACCACCACATGTTTCAAGGCCCTCACTGATGAGTGGCTTGATCGAGGCAACACGGGCACGCCCCTTCGCTGGTCCGCTATCACTCCACCTCCCACTCCCTTTGATGTTCGTACCCTCCCCGCCTATCAGCCCTCCTCTACCTCTCTCCACCACATCCTTGCACAGCACCTCCCTCCACAGATCCTCCAGCAGGTCACGCCCCTCCTTCCGTCCCCACAGCCGCAGCAGACTCAGCAGCCGCAACAGAACCAGCAGCCGCAGCAGAACCAGCAGCCGCAGCAGTCCCAGCAGCAGCCGCAGCAGCTCCTGCAGCAGCTCCTCCAGCAGCTGCAACAGTCTCAGCAGCACCAGCAGTCTCAGCAGCAGCCCTCCCCTCCCTCCGCCTGGAGCTCTGGCCTGTCTGCTCCTGCTCCTCCTGCGCAGGCCCCCACCGGATCTCCTGGCTTTACCCCATTTCCCTCACCTGGCTTCATCAACCATGTTAGCCATGCCTCTCCTGCTATTCCTCCAATGTATCCCGAGTCTATTAATGAAACCTCCTTCCAGTACTCCGTGTCTCACCCCACCCCTCCTTCCATTGAGTTTGTCATTGACAGAGGCGCCAGTGTCACAGTCCTTCGTGATGCTGGTGCCCTCACCCCCCTCCCTAACCCCTCCACCATCATTGGAGCCGATTCTACTTTCTCGGTCACCTCCCGCCATACCTCCACCCTTCCCTGCCCCCTCTTCCCCTCAGGTTCAGTAACTGGCTTCCATGTCCCCTCCCTTCGCACTAACCTCGTCTCCCAAGGTGCACTTCAACGGGCCGGGGTCACAACAATCTACCCCGGCCACGCCACCCACTGCGACTTGTTTCACTCATCCACGGGCCATTTCATCGTCCGTGTTCCCATGTGTCCTCGCACTCGCATGTACACCCTTCACACTCCCCGTCCGTCAGCCTGTCACACTGCCTCCACCATCCCTCCCCTCCCCCCTCCCCTCTTTCCTCCGCAACCTCCCTCCACCTCCCCTCCCGCCCCTCCTGCTCCCCCCCATCTCAGTGCCACTGTCGTGATCTTACACATCCTGCCATCCTCCTCCACCACCGCCTAGGTCACCCCAACTTTGCCACCCTCCACAAGGCCGTTGCCTCCGGGCTCCTCAATGGCCTTCCTCTCACTCTCCCCCCACTCCCTCCCTCCCCCGCCCCACCTTGCACCATCTGTGTCCAAAGCAAGCTCAAGCAGCTTTCTCATAAAAGTCACCCTTCTTGCGCCCCAGAGCTCCTGGATCTTGTCCACATGGATCTCTGGGGCCCCAACCCCTCCCCCACCCGTCAAGGGCACCGCTACCTCCTCGTCCTAGTTGATGACCGCTCACGATACACCTCGGTCTCCCTCCTTCGCACGAAGGCCGAAGCATCGGCCTTTATCATCGCCTGGGCCGAGCAGGCGCGCACCCACTTCGGTCGTCCCGTTCGCCGCTTCCATTCCGATGGCGGCGGTGAATTCCTCAATCACCATCTCTCTTCCTATTTCTCCACCCATGGTATTCACCACACTTACACCCTCCCTCACTCCCCTCAGCAGAATGGCGTGGCAGAAGCTCGTGTTCGAGAAGTTACAAAGACCGCCAGGTGTCTTCTCGTTCACGCCTCCTGCCCGCCTTCTCTCTGGGGTTATGCTCTTCTCCACGCCGTCCTCCTCACTAACCTGTATCCCCACCCTCTCCTCCCCTCCACCACCCCCACCGAGCTGTGGACGTCAACTAAACCCGACGTCTCCCCCCTGCGCGTCTGGGGTTCCAGGGCGTATGTTCTCATACACCCAGCCGACCGCTCACGCACAGCAGGGAAGCTCGCCTCCAAGAGTCTACCCTGTGTATTCCTTGGTCACAACACCTCCTCCCCTGACTACCTCTTCCTTCATCCCCCCTCAGGTCGCCTCA